GGTCTCGGGGGAAGGGAGGGAGCACGCAGGTGGGAGGGGAAACAGCTAAATCTCAGCAGCCTTTTCTGCTAACATCAGCTGCCTGAGATTTTTGGTTGAGAAGAAGTGCTTGGCTCTTGTTTCGTATCACTCCCGTGGAGGGGAATTAAACGCCCGTTTCCCTCTAAAAGTTGGGGACCTGTGCTTATGGCTACGCGGAAAGTGTGTGGTGGATCGGCTAATGAAAGCCGGATCGGTCAGGCTTCAGGTTAGTATCCTACCTAATGAACCAATTCCTTATTGTTTTTGTTATTCACGCAGAATTTAAAGGAGAGGCTGTCATGTCACAGGACTGCAACGATGAGTGGGAGCTGAGCAAAGAGAACGTGCAGCCCCTCCGGCAAGGGCGTGTCATGGCCACCTTGCAGGAAGCACTGGCTCAGCGGGAGACGTCCACCCACACCGCGGTTCCACTCAAAAAGCAGTGAGCGATGCTTTGACACCTTTCCCCTTATCTTCCTGCCTTCTCATCTATTTTTCTATGTCTTATTTAACCGTGTTAATCTCATAGGCATTAAAAAGAGCATAAAAGAACAGGAGTTTAATAACTGATGTCTATGCTACTATCATACTCCAGGTATTTAGGCCTACTTGCTGTGTGTGCTGTACAGTATAGCCTACTATTTTTAGGTTTGCAAGGGAGTATTTAAACAGCAAACACTAGGCAGATTTGGTTGTGCTTTTAAATGTATTCATTAAGAAAAATACAAAAAGGTTACAAAGAAGAGAGTTTTTTTGTCTTTCCTACAATAATGTATTGAAGCAGGGTATTTCTTAGGAGATAAATACTTCCTACTATCATAATGTAGGCACAGTACAGGTATCTCCGTATGCCTTCTCTGGATTGCAAAGACACCTGAGTGGGCAAAGTCAGCTTTGGTTTGGTCTGTCTTGCATACAGTATTCCACAGATATGACTCTATGACTTCAAGGTGTATCTTGTGTCCCAAACCTATTCAGTTATACTTCCGTTGTCTGATATTCAAATTTGCATGCACTGTGAAGGCCAAGTTGACTTTGTGAAGAGTCTGCATATTGTGTCTGTATTGTGTTATCAGACTTGGAAGCACTGGTGCTTGTCATGCTGCACCATCTGAGTGATTTCATGTGAAGTCATCAGGTCTATGAACACCTGCCCAGTAGTTACTGAACCAGTGTTTATCAGCTGGATCTGGATTTTTTTTCATGGAAAGCCATGGAATTGTTATTGTACTGGGCTCTGCAAGAGCGTTTGTCCAACTGGACTCATTATGTTTGTGAGGTGTTATGGTTGAGCAGAGCCTTCCAAGAATAAGGAACTGCCTGGGGAACTTTACAGGATCTGGACTCTATGATCTTAAAGGTCTTTTCCAACCTAAATGATTCTGTAAGTTAGAGCCACTGCTAAACACAAGCTAATGTTCTTGTCTAACTTCAAGGTGCAAGGGGTTTTTCTTTCTTTGTGTACTTCCTGAGGGTGAAGTCGTGTTGTAGGATTATAATGATGCATGGGAGTTGAAGAATGAGACAAGATTATGACTGTCAGTGTGGCCGCTTAGATGTGCCTTCACTGTGCTCTCTGATGCAGTTCTATAGTTGTGTGATCACCAGGCTTTTCCATCATCCTGTGTGTGTGTTTCACCCTCCTCTTATACTTAAATGAGGGATGTTTTGTGCAAAAATGAAATTTCACAATATATCTGTCTGCTAATAACTCTTCATAACAGAACAAGCCTTCTGTCAAGGGAGACCATATAAGCTTTAGGGTAGTAGAAATTCTTGGAAATATCCTTTGGAAAGATGCAGATCTGTTCTTGTTAAATAATGAAACATTTTCCAGTCTTTTAATTTTGAAGAAGAATGCAAAACCTTATTTTTTTTTTATTCTTCTGGTCTCAGTAAAACTCAAGCCTAAATATATGCTAACCTAGCCTGTTTTTAAGTAGACCTACAAAATTATATGAACGAGAGCATAGGTCTTAGTTTACAGTGTAGAAAACATCTTTACGGTTATACACATGTATTTATTGGATGGATAATTTTATTTTTTTTTAGGGAGTTTGAATCAGAAATCCGATTTTACTCTGGAGATGATCCACTGGATGTCTGGGACCGGTAAGTTTCCTTTTATTTCAGAAGAAAGAATAGAAAGGTCAGATATCCTTGTAAAAGCTTGGGAAAAAATATTCTAATTTAATAAGAAACTCATTAAACGATAAATTCTGTAACAGTTTTTTTAATAATATGTTGTGTTTCAATAATATGCCTAACTTTTTTCTAAATTTCCTTACGTTGTACAGAAACAGGAGCCTTGGATCTTATGCAGAACTGACTTCCTATGAATATATTTCATCTCTAGGTACATCAAGTGGACAGAGCAAACCTTCCCACAAGGTGGAAAGGAGAGTAATCTCGCAGCAATATTGGAAAGGGCAGTGAAAGCACTCAATGCACAGCAGCGATACTACAAAGATCCCCGCTATCTTAATCTCTGGCTCAAGTTTGTGAGTGTTTTGTGAATATGTCTTGGGTGCTGCTTTTTCTTGATACTTGTCATGTCATTTGCACGCACTTAAGCTGATTTTTGTGACAACAAAATCAATGAAGAAGTTGTACAACTAGTGTAATATTAGAAGTATCTCTCTACAAATGTGTTACCTACTCTTGAATTCCACTTTTCATTTTCAATAGGATCTTCAGACCTTTTTTAGGATCATTCAGTTTGGACAGCTACAAATTCCATAAGTTTTGTTTTGGAAAAGGTAGTTTGACTGAGAGCTTGATTATTTATTTAAGGAGAAAAGAAAGTGATTTAAAGATACATTTTGGGTGTGTCATCTGTCCTACCAGTTATTTAAACTTCTAACTGTCATGTATCCACATCCTGTGGGTAAGCAAAACCAAGCTGAGTGTATTCTGGTCTTACCTTGTCTCTCCATTGCTATAGTTTTTGTTGTTCTTGTCATTTTAAAGTAGCTTTTCTCCAGGTTTAGCTTCCTGAGCTGACTGACCAGTTCCAAAACTGATAAGAAATATGTTGTACTTTTTCTAAAACTAAAATAACTATTCTCAGGAATACTAATATGACGTAATTCAATCATTGAATTATCTCCGATTAAAAAAAATTCTAAGAAATCACTGACTTTGAATATGTGGGCTAGAATTAAGGGATTGGTAATAATATTGACAAATATATACATGCAGTCAGAGGTTTTTCTCATTATTATTCTTCTCCTGTTGAATTCCTTTCCTTTACCTTGTGCTCTGTGACATGATACTATTGTACGTCCTGGCCTTACAGCTGCTCCTGTAAGACTTGTACTAAAATCAATGGAGTCTTGCAGGAGGCATCAAAATGCAGACATTGACTTGAAATCCTTTGTAGTCCAATGTGATTACTGAAATTCTTTGGTTGTTTCAGGGAGATTGTTGTAATGAGCCCTTGGATCTGTACAGTTACCTACATAGCCAGGAAATTGGCACAACCCTGGCACTCCTCTACATCACATGGGCAGAAGTACTTGAGGCTAGAGGAAGTTTTAAGAAAGCAGATCTGATATTCCAGGAAGGTCTTCAGCGCAAGGCTGAGCCTTTGGACAAACTCCAGTCCCATCACAGGTAAGCTTCCAGCTAAAGGGAAGAACTTAGAGTAGTCTTACGTGCTTCAGTGGATGCCTGGTACAGTGAAGTTTATGCTGATTTCAATATTTTTCTTAGGCAGTTTCAGGCACGTGTTTCTCGGCAGGCACTACTGGGGCTTGAGGAGGCTCCTGATGAAGAAGATACGGGTCTTCTGGGATCTGCAGAACCTCAGAGAAGCTCATTGGCAGATCTAAAAGGCAGGGGGAAGAAAAAAATGATAGCCCCAATTAGTCGAGTAGGAGATGCACTTAAAGGTACGTTCAGTTGCTGAAACCGTGTGTTATTATTGGAAGAGTTATATCTTTTTGTTGTGGAATTTACACTTGAGTGTGATAGTTAAAGGTTAATTTGCATAAATCTTTTTTGCTTATAGCCACAAACCAAAACAGAAGCTTCCAGACTCTAACTTCTCAACAGCTTGCAAATAATCCAGGTTTTGCTGTGTTTGATGAAAATTCAGCTTCCAGACCTGAGATTCCCGTACTTACACCACAGCCATGGACAGCACCTCCACCTCCGAGGGCCAAGGAGAATGAGCTAAGCGCAGGGCCTTGGAACTCTGGCAGGGTAAGGAGTCTCAAAATGGACTGGCAAAAAAGAAAAAGGTGTGTGTAAGCTGATGACTTCTTCTGATCCCTGAGGCAAAGGTCATATTCTTTCTCCCTTGCCTGGGGTTTGTGTCTGTGTGTAACTACAGATCTTCCTAGCTTCTTCCTGAAGTGTCTCTGGCTATATGTAACCTATTTAAGTTTAGCAAGCTGATATTGCCAGAATAAGTTTAAAAAACTCTCTACAGTTCTTAAATCAAGACATAATTCTTGCTAACCAGAAAAATTGGTAGATATGCTCTGCCAAACTGTTTGGAGGACAGAAAAGAATGTAGGTGGGAAAACACTAGCCAAAGAAAGGGAGAGAAGCCAGGCATCAGTTAATTCTGTAAGAACGAAGAGCAAGAATGAAATTGGTATCATACAATACAACCTGAAGGAAGAACTTGTTGCCTGTCGTCTTATGAAAATGAGGCATGTACAGCATTCTGTTAGTCTGTTTTGAAGTGCTTGTGAGGAAAACAGAAGACTGGAGATCAAAAGAATTCAAGAACTACTGTATCAATGGAATATTTATCCTGACAATATAGGGAAGCTTGCCAGTAGATGAAAAAAGGATGACAAACTAGGTTCCAATGGTTTAATCTAATGCTGGAGACATGAAAAGAAGCAGCTGTGCTACAGGTGTTTAAGCTGTTCTAGAGAAATGATCAAAGACATTATCTGAAGGAAATTAATCCTGTGAAATCAAGTTTGTTTCACAGATCCTTAGATAACCCCCAGTGTTCCCCTTTTCTTTGTAGATTAGAGAGGAAGAATAGAAAGTAATCAGATGATAAAAATATTAGACTTCTATATTGAGAAGTTGTTATAAGTGAAGCTTAGGAAAAAAAACTAGGATGAAGGGAGGCAAGCAAATGGCTGAAATTCATGGAAACTCCAGGAAGAATTACTGCCAGATACAAAGCAATTCAATTAAGTGAATGGAAAAGTTCAGTAAATCACAGGTTTAATTTAGCTGAGAAGAATGAGGAGGAAGAATTATTAATGTAAAACTTCTTTTATCAGTTGCCTTGCTTTGGGCTGCTTTACATTCATTCTGATCCCCAAATACTTCTGTATTCTTTTAATGTCTGTCCTTAGAGTTCTCTCTGTTCCTCCTTTCATGAAATTTGTTAGATTTAATTTTTAAAAAAAAACAACAAAACTGCAACTAACAGAAGAGTTGAGGATGTTTAATTCCCCTTCACTGAAGTGTGGTGCTCATTCTGGCATGTATTACGGTGAAAGAATAACCTTTTTCTGAATGCTTTGAGATATTAAAAGCTGCACAGAGGAGAGAGGCTTCTCTTTTATTGCCAGTGAGAAGGTGGCTAAGTATGAAAAATGGTAGAAAAGTCAGTTTGTGAAATATCCGCACCTTGTAACTTTTTCTGCTTAACAGTCTAGGGGAATTTCAAGTAGGCGGATGAGAGTAGCATGTTGCCAGATTAAATTCCATCTGTCTTCTCTTAAATAATGGACCCCAGAAGCAGTTAAGGGATTTTTGTGGTGTTGGCATGACATCTGAGAGGAAAATCGAGAAGCCTGGAGGTTCTTGATGGACAGCAGAAGGAATACTATAATAAAATTGGGATAGTCTTGGCTGAAAAATGAGGACTATAGCATTTCTGGAAAACAAACAAGAGGAGCAACTGGCATACCCAGCTTGACCAGCACTCCTTCAGAACAGCAGAAACTAGGTACTGATGAGGACATGCAGGAGTGTGTCTTGCTTTTTCAGGTGGTAGTGCTCAGCTGGTGTTCTGTAACTTTTTACGTATCAGAACAGAATTAATCCTGTTAATTAATCTTGGAAGAGTCTATCAGGTTTAATTTTTTTTTAAATAACAAAAACTACAAATGAGCCAAACACTGGGAAAAGGGAGATTCAGAGTATAGAGGAACGTAGAGTCTAAAAATGAATCTTTAAGCTGTTAACATTGACTTTTTCTTCCTCAGCGTCCTCGCAGTAGTGCAAATTCTGGTATAGAAGTGCCCTGCCCACTGCCTAATTTCACCCCATATGTGGAAGAGTCAGCTCAGCAACAAGTCATGTGAGTCTTCAGTCTGAAATGGGGATTGCATTTGAAATTGTCAAAGCTGCTTCGTAAAATTCTAACCTGGTTTGCCAAGTAGCCAATCCTCTAGATCTACAAGAATCTAAAAATCTGTCAACCTGGAAGCTCTTAGTGCTTTAGCTTGATGCAGAGGCTTCAGTGGAGGATGCATAAGGACATGGGAAGTATTTGACTATTGCTGCTCATTATGTGGGAGCCTATATCATATTTATATATGCTAATTAGTGTAATAGTTTAACTCGGTGTGCTTACACAAAACAGTTACCTCTCTTAGGATGCTCTTTGCTATGAAAGCAGCCCTGAATTGAGACAGACTTATTACCGTCTTCCTGTATCTTGGGAACTCGGCTCACTGTATCTGGAGTTTTATTCTGAAACAAGCTATCCAAGTTTCCATGACAACAGTGTTGCTTAGGTTATGGGGGAGTATGCTGTTTTGCCTGAAATTACCTTCCTGCTTGTACAGTGCTCACTGAAATGCTGATAAATCCCAGGAGATGAGGTTGCTCTGTTTTGTTACAGCAGAGGAAAATGCATTATTCTGCAAAGCTGCTTAACTTTCTTGTTCTGTAGCTGCTGATGGCCATAGAATACATAGGCTCTTCGTAAGAGAGAAGTGGAAAAGAATGTTTGGTAACACAGACAGCTTATTGCGTATCATTAAAGAATGTTGAAAGGTGGCTAACAGCATGGATTTTTTTTTTTTTCTCCTGTGGCTTTTGTATGTTGTGTGTGGACTGCAGAGTAGCTCTGACCAAGGACATGTCATAATTTAGTTTAAGAATATGTAAAAAATCAAGTTTCCGTCTAAGCTATAAGACTGTTTCTTGCTCCTGAAAGTCAGTGATGCCATGGAATTAAATCTCTTGACATGCCAGTCTCTCTTAGACGAACACTTGTTATTTACAGAAGGTAGCATCTTTTTATACCAGGGAAAAGGAAGGAGTGGGTGGGAACTGAACATCGTGATAAATTGGCTGTAAGCAACCTGAGCAGAGAGTTTGTACGTAGTTTTATACTATGTAGTTAAAAGTTTAAAAGCAGATTTTTTTTTTCTACCTTTGGGTCCGTTTCCTCATGATGCCATGGCCATCAACCAAATCAAGTCTGAAAGTGTCGGACTGAAACTGTGTAAACATGATGCAAATCATGCCATCAGTTGTCATCTAGAGATTTGGGTAGAAGGACCCTGTAGTGATCTTGGTAACAAGCCCCCATCCACACAAATAAAAGCTTTAACCCCCGCCACCATTAGGAGCACCTGTTTGCTGCATGATCTCCCAGGTGGTCTTAGGGTTGTGAGTCCATTCACATGCAAACCAAAACAGATGTCTTGGAACTGTCCACTGTGTTTTTCTTTTGAACTAACTATTCACTCAGGCCACAAGTAATGAATGCATTTCTCAAGGTCAGTTGTTCAGATCATCTTTTGTTGAGGTACAGATAATTGCTGGAGTCATCTGGATTACTGGCATCTGCAGAAATTCTGGTGGTTCTCTCCTGAAATTAGCATGTAGCACTTTCAGAAAGCACTTTCAAGCTAAGAAATTGACTGCTCCTGAGTCCTTTCACTGTACAGTGATGGGGTGGTTTTTTTGGTGGTCTTTTTTGTGTTTGTGGTGTTTGTTTGGTTTTTTTGTAATGGAGTATTTAATTTCTGTCACTCAACATACAAAACATTTTCCTTAAGCAAATTCCCCTCTTATTGCCTCTTAAATCTCCCCTTTTTTCTTAACCTAAAATGCCAGGCTTAATCTAGTCCAAGATCTTCCAGTTTTAAGACCTGCTGATTCTTTCCCCCCTCCCAGATAAACTCCATTTTGCAGGATGATTAGGGACTGGTCACCTGTGTGGTCACACAGATCGGTGGAGCTAAGGTAAACACAGATCCTGCTCCAGAATGCACAGCAATTCAGAGTATCACAAGAATTTTATTTGCTCTTTACTGGGCCATATTAACACTTTGTTATGGGCTTTGGGGTTTTTTTTTCATCACACAATTCTGAGTTGGTATGCTTGGCTTTTATGTGCTATCATTCCTTTTTTCTTGTTTGTGTTTTCTATCAAGAGAACAGAATGTCTATTCTACAGCTAGATTCTGAAATTTATCTCCTATGCTTGCTTTTCTGCAGTACAATGAAGTAATAAAATACATATAATCAAAGTAATAACTGCCTTTTTTTTTTTTAGGACTCCCTGCAGAATTGAGCCCAGCATAAGCCGTGTTTTAAGTGCTCGCAAACCTGAGAAAGAGGAGGACCCACTACGGCGAGTGCAAAATTATCAGCAGGATACTCAAGAAAAGAAAGAGGTAGTGATGTACTGTAAAGATAAAGTTTACGCTGGAGTCGAAGAGTTTTCTTTGGAAGAGATCCGAGCTGAAATCTACAGAAAGAAAGCAAAAAAGAAAACTGAAGGTATGCTTCAAAATGGGATGGCATAAGACTTTCGAAGATGGAATTGGAAAATTATACTTCTTTCTTACCAGCATACAGCTGTCTGTTATTGCAGCTGCTTTTCTTTTTCTACTGGAATAGTTATTTAACTGCTTTGAGGTATAGAGAAAGTAACAAATCTGACAGCTTGACGTGGTAAGCCATGAAACATGAAAAGGAGACCAGAGGTTTTAGCCCCTTTAAAAACAATTTAGGCTTTAGCCACAGATTGCATGTGGAATAAGCATTGTGCCTTACAAGATTTTCTTCCTTAGAGGAGATGCAGGCCATAGCACAGCAGAAGGAAGAAATACAAAGGAAAATTGAGGAGCTGGAGAAGAAATTGAAGAAAGAAGAAGATGACAAGCAGCAACGACTGCATGAACAGGTACTGTCCTCATTTAACTGTTCTTTTACAAGTATCTACTATTTTATTATAAAAAAGTAAAAGTACCAAAGGAGGAACAATATCTAATATGTGTTTCTTTGGCTAGCACTTTTTAAACATTTTTTGAAAGGATGCTTCAGTCTGTTGTACACATACATCACCCAGTATATGAAAGCTCAGAGGAATATTTCTTTTCTCCCAGACAAGCCATATCCTTTCACTACAGGAATGTAAATCAAAGGCTTCAAGTTTTGTAGCGTTACTTTACAAGTTTTGTTAAGTTATTTAACAATCGGACAAGTTACCTTATGCTAAGGTATAAACTTCTAAATTTTTTTTTGAGTAAAGGTATGCCAGATGCTTAAGGGCAAATTGCTCCTTCTTAAGCTGTATTCATGTGCAATGTCCTTTATATAAGAGAATTTGTAGTGCAAAAGAAGACAGGAAAAGAAGCGGGAACTGGGGAAAGAAGTGAAGGGTTGCAACGTGGTGTGGGCTAACCATGGTAGGCAACAAAGCACGACACACCTGCTTGCTCACTCCCCCTCAGTGGGATGAAGGAGAGAATCAGAAGGATAAAAGTGAGAGAACTCATGAGTTGAGATAAGGACGGCTCAATAGGTATACCAAAAGCTGTGCATGCAAGCAAAGCAAAATAAGAAATTAATTTACTACTTCCCCTTGGCAGCCAGATGTTTAGCTGTTTCCAGGAAAGCAGGGCTTCATCATGCATAACGTTTACTTGGGAAGACAAATGCCATAATTCTGAACATCCCCCTCTTCCTCCAGATTTTATTGCTGAGCATGATGTAATATGGTATGGAATATCCTTTTGGTCAGTTGGGGTCAGCTGTCCGAGCTGTGTCCCCTCCTGACTTGTGTGCCTGCAGCCTCCTTGCTGGGGTGGCAGTGTGAAGAACAGAAGGCCTTGATGCTGTGTAAACACTGTTCAGCAACAGCTAAAACACCAGTGTGTTATCAATATTGTTCTGGTCAAAAATCCAAAACATAGCACCTTACCAGCCACTACAAAGAAAATTAACTCTATCCTAGCCAAAACCAGTACACAAAGCCATATCTGATTCATCTCCAATGTATAGTAGTATGCTTTCTTACATAGCAGATTTTTTTTTTTCTTTTCTATGCAGACCAGTATTGAGCAGAGTATCTTTCAAGCAAGAATACTTTGGTCTGCCATTGCTAGGTAGTGTTTAAACCCCAGTTTTCATAGGTTGCAAATAACAAGTAAAAGTTAACTATTTTAAAGCTTTTCCTTTTCCCAACGTCATCAGTTGGGCTAATAAAGTATGTTCTATCTCCCCTCCCTCCTTCCTCATTTCCATTTCCAAAACAATGCCTTAGTAGTAAATATTTTAAATACTGAAATACAGTGTTGTGAATTTGATGTAAGCTGTGTAGCTGCTTACATATGTCTTTAATAGTTGCAATATAACTGAAATCTCCTATGAAAGTTATATACAGTTGCAAAGAGTAAAATTATGCATTTTAACTACAGTAAGCTATAAGAATGGACTTTTTTCATGGAAGTAAATTAAATACAAATAAAAATGGCTAAAGACAACTAATAATCTATCAGGGCTTTAACGATGTACACAGGATTATCATATGTTCTTGGAACCTTGCTGCATGGCTTGCAATTCCATCATTGTAGAACTAAAATATGGCTTTGTTTCTACAGCCAACAGAGACACCAGAAGATTTGCCACCTTTAGGACTGCAAGGATTTACTCTTTCCAGTGCAACAGAAGCTGGAGAGAAACAGCCTCAGTTGCAAAGGTAATACAGGATTTTCTTTGCCAGTGATGAGAAAATTTGTGGGGATAATCAGTTATGAGTAACATGGATCACTAGCAGATGGCCTGTTTCCACAGGCAGAATGGAATATGCCCCTAGGTATCTGCCTGTAACCAGGATCTGTAATCTGTCTCTATATATTTTCAGTTATTTGTCTGAGGGTCTTAACTTCTTACAAGTATCGTATGTCAGCTTGACTTGCCTTTTTTACAAAGTTTACTTATGTTTTGTGAAGGTGTGTAAAATATAAGAAATGAGTTTGTATCTTTTTCACAGTGAATTCCAGGTCTCTGAAGATACTCAACTACATAAACCATCTTGTTCTGAGGGTAAGTATTTAAATTTTTTACCATTAAGGAGAAGGCTGTGTTAAAGGGAAGTGTTCTCTTATATAAATAGCAAGACTGCAACAAACTAAAACCAAAAATCTAGGTGAATTAGAAGAAGGAAAATGAGAATGTGCCAGTAGTGCCTTTAACCATACTCAGCAAAAGACTGAACATCTGATGTCTGAGAACTGTCACTATTTGAAAGGACTTTGAAGCAGAAGAGTTGTTTTTTTTCTTTTAATAGATGAAGAGCTTTCTTCACAATTTCATATATGCACTGTTACTAAAATATGTAAAAGAGTTTAATGGTAACATTAACATTGATACTATCTTAAGTCCTCCTTTTTCCTCAGAGGATTTGGTAGAGGAATACAATCGGAAATTGTATATTCAGTTTTGTTGTTGGGAAAGGTGCATGCTGAAGAAATTTGCTTTTGACCCAAACTGACTACTGTTACTGTTGACAGAGGTTATCCAGTCTCTTGATGTATGCCCAGATATACAAAGGGAAAATGTGTTTTTAGACTCTGATGTTGAACAAGAGGAACAGAGAGATGAGGCCAGCCTTGGGAAAAAAGGTACAAATTCTGAAGCATATTCTAAAAAGAGCAAGCTAGCTAACATAATATGGTGGTAAAAGTGTGGTTCATTAAAATGACAAAGCCAAGCCTTTTTTAATAGGTTTCTTTAAATGTTAGTTCTGTAACTTCCTGCCAGGACTGGTATTTTTAAGACTGTATTAAATGTTTTAAGTAGCATTGAATACACTGTTGTGGAAAAACAGTTGATATAATAGAGCCTCTTGTTTTTTCTTTACAGATGTAGGTTTCCTTCCCCCACCGAATCCTGCTATGTTTTTCTCCATATTTGATGAATCCTCTGCTTTGGCAAATCAGAATATAAGGTAGGATTATTCAAGACTTAGATTTCAGAGGGAGAGAAAACTGAAGTACCAAACCACTTTCCATAGCAGCTGAAATACAGTACTGTTTCTTGTATGGATGTGGAGTGGTTTTTTGTTTTGTTTATATTTGTATTTTTTGTTTTATTTCATTATTCTACTTGAGAATTCCATGATGAGGAAGTACTCTCCTGTTGTTCCCCTTCAATCTAGAACTATTTAAGCTGCTATATGAGCTTTCTTCATTCTGGAGACCTGTATATATTGCAATTTACTGGTACCTCTGTAGTAGAAAGTGGTAGATTGAAATTGTCAGTAGACTTAAACTCTTGAGAGGAATCTCTGTTGAAGATCGGAAGCTACTCTAATAAATATTTAATAGAACGTAACTTTATCTTAGTTGTTCTGCAGATCATACACAGAAAAGTGCTCGACGCCCTCTTGCTGTTCGTAAACCTTCAGATTCTCTAACTGCAAAGGAAAATGTAACACCAGAAGCCTGTGTAAGGAAACAATTTACTCCATAGCAGATTTCCTGTCAAGGAGAAACCAACATAGAATGTCCTATTGTTGAACTGAGTGAGATTGGCCGGACTGACATGATGACAAGGATTCTAAACTTCTGTCTGGCATGAATTGGGTGATGTTAAGATTACACTGGAAATTTCATGGTTTTATTAGGCTTTAAGGTGGCCAGTGCAGAGATGATTGTAAGGAGTCTTCTAAATTTTAAGCAACTGATTGGTGGCCAGGATTACTCATGCTGAAACTTTTAAAAGTTTGTGTGATGAAGAGTTGCACTCTTAAACGCTGCCTCATGTTCCATCTGTTTTCTTGCCACGCATCCAAACTAGCAACTCAGCTCCTATATTCATCACCTGAAGTACCATACACTTGACTCCTAACTTAAACCTTTGTATCTCGTTTCCTAAGCTATGTGTCTTTATGTGGCAGTTTTGCAGATGTTTGTAAAGCTTTCAATAGAGGTAGTTGCTGTCTCGCCAAAGGACTTAGTTACTGCATGCCACAATAGACCTTTAGACTGGTTGCACGGGAGGATTTTATTCTGAGCTGAGAAGGATTTTATGTACAGCTACAATATGAAATACTTAGCAGTGTTAAGCATCATGCTGATTTTGGTTCTACGAGTCAGTCTGGATAACTGCACAGTTCTGCTTTGTATGTTCTATATGTCTTCAATGCCCAGCATTATAGTAAACACTTTAATAATGTGCTTATAACTGAACTGAAATGCACTTCTGCAGTGGCAGACACTAAGTAGCCTTTAACAGTTCATGGCAGCTCTGCAGCACTGCAGAGGGTAACAAAGCTATCCTTTCTAGTTGGAAAAAAATTTGCAGTTACAGTTAGGATTTATTTACTCAATTTAAATGAGCAATATGAGTAGAGTACATGAAGACTGAATGTCAGATTCATGTTGGAAGGCGGTGGGGTGGCAGAAAGGGGAGAGAGAAATGTTCAGCTTTTAAATTAAAAGAAAATTTGACAGAAAATCTACAGGCTTTTCACTGTCTCTTCCTACTTTTTTCAGGATGAGCTGAATGGAATTGAACCTTTGACTGAAGATGCAATTGTGACAGGCTCCTACAAGAACAAATCCCTTTGTGCCAACCCAGAAGACACGTGTGACTTTGTTAGGGCTGCCCATCTGGCCTCAACGCCCTTCCATGGCGTGGCAGCTCAGAGAGTCCCAGCTCCCGCTTTTTCACAGAGTATCCTGAAGGAAGACTGTCCAGAATCCAAGAGCACACCTCTGAATCAGCAAACGCTGGTTTGTGAGGGAGTGTACAATGAAGCTCTTTGTGTAAATAAACTGAGGTAATTAACAGCAAAGCATCTTAAGCCCCTCTTCCTGTGTCTTTCTTTGATTGTGGGTTTACTATTCTGTTGCTAAAGAAACAAATTTCTGAAGAGATCAGAATATACTGAAGACAGACGTTTCTCTAGCTCGGAGTCCATTTTGCCTTGAGCAAATTTAAGAGGTAATGGCAAGCCCACTTGACTTTTTTGCATTACTGCTGCAGGATTTAACTCCATGCTTTTTCTACCAAATAACTTGCAAACAAATTACAATAAACACATTCTGTCTTTGTAACCAGAGATTAAAAGTGGAATCATCAGTTCCTTTTATACTTGTATGCTTCTGTAGTTATTTTTAGTATATAAAATGCATCTGGTGATTATGGCTTAGATTTCCTCTACAGAGGAGAAAAGCTGGAGGAAAAAAAACAACTGCAGAACAATCTCCTGTTTCTTATCACTGTAAAGAAAAAAGCATCCATTGTATGGGCTTTTCTTAACTTAGAACTGAGTTTGATTTGCTAGCTGTTAGTGTGTAAACATGTATACCATGCTGAAGGTGTTTGTTCCTGGGAAAACCATGCTGATTATAATTAGGAAGGAAGAGCAAGAGTTATTTCCCACCGAACCCTTCACTGCTTTAAAAGCACTGTAGATCTGAATTTTGGTAGCGAAGGGAGTAATAACCATTCAGTATGTCTTCTGTTGTAGCAGTGATATTTAATGGAAGAGAAGATAAAATTCATTTGTAGACTAAGATTGAGTATAAACAATCATTGAAGCTAAAATGAAGTTCTGACATAACTATCGTTTTTCCACTAAGGATGGGAAAGGACTTCTTTAACATAAAGAAGTCTGGGAGTGCACAGTATCCTTTCATAGTTGCTAGACTGGCATTATCTAGATGCTGTATCTTCTGAAATTCTGAATAGTTGATGACTTCATTTACAGCCCCATCATGGAAGCAAGCCTGGAAGATACTCGCTCGTCAGGTTCTTCTGTCTCCTCAGGATCTTCCCTTTCCTCTGTTACACAAGTATCTACTATTAAATACCTGCACATTCCTGAGAAACTGGAACTTGCTCAGAGCCTGCCTGCTGAAACCATTACTGATTCTGGAGGTATCAGTGCAACCGTTACTGGTTAGTACTAAACTGAGTTTCACTCCCAACAAATAACTTGCAGCTGACACTAAATTATGGCGCTCTTTCTGTACTTCCTATATTCTATTCTGCTTTCTGTGTGTTTCCCATTACTTTGACTTGTGACTAAACTTGTTTCTCCCTTGTCAGAAGTAGTAGTGAGGTATACAGTATAGCATGCTTGTCAGCATCCAAAAGATGTAAATATTAAAGTGATGGAGATGTTATTTCAGATCTTAAAGCAGGGAGTGTGTAGGAGTAATGAGGTCAAACTCTGAAACGAAAAAATTCCATGAACGGTAGTGAGAACTTCTAAGACAGCTTTGTTTTGTTTTGTCTTGATTTTTTTTTTTTCTCTCTGTAATCATACTGTGTGTTCTCCTGATATGCTGATAAGTGCCACGTTGAAAAAGGTGAGTATGAATTTGAAATCTAGTGGATGTTGCATAATTTTGTTTTCAAATCTGCACTCCTAACTTTGCTGTAAACTATTGTGTGGCTTCACAGTATGTTTCTTTTTCCTATTGAAGCAAAACAATACTGGTACTTAACTATTTAACTTCATTTTTTTTTTTTCTTCTAGCCAAAGACCTTCGTTTCTCTCTGCTATAAATCTTTGTATTACAGTTAGAACAGGAATGGTCACAAAAAGCCTTCAAAACCTGGCCTGTAGAATTAGGTTTGTGTTGAATGACGGTTTTCAAGGTGCTTAACCTGCTTTAACTCCTTTGACTTCAGTTTATGATATTTTAATTAGAATCGTGTATCTGAAAATTCTCAGTGTATCTGCTCTAGAGATGAATATGTTATTGTGTGTCTGCAGACTATTTTATGATGAGGCATGCTTGGGAACTGGAATGAAAATACAGTTAGGAGAGGAGTGTTGTCACTGAAATAGCTGAAATATTTTGGATAGATCTTATGCTCATTTTTTTTATCATATGCACTAATCTTTGAAGCAAGATGAAGAATCTTTACAGATTCTTTTCAGAAAAAGAAGGCATTTGTTCAGGTGTTTTAATGGTCCTTTTTTTGAAACTTTTGATCATTCCTGTTGCTTTTTTCTTGTTTTCTGCATGTTTCCCTTGAACTGCAGTTATCAACCTGAAAGTAGTAATTCTACTGAGGGCTCCTTAATGCTGCACAGAGCAGAAAAATTACTTCACATGTCTGTCAGTTTATTCCTGTAAAATATGCCAGTAAATTTCATAGGTTTGTGACTGGTAAAACATTGGAACACCTATTTAGCCTTCAACCTACAGTGTTTCCTGTATTTCCTGTACTTTCACAAAATTACTTCCTAAGCAATATCTTACTGCAATGCTTTTCAAATAAACAGAACAGGAAGTAATGATACTCTGATTCTTACCTTTGTACTGTGAAAGCTGAAAATGTTGTCAGCCATTACTAATCATAGTCTTTGGGAGAGGAAGTCAGTAGGAGCCATCTAGTTCTGCTGTGATTTACTCTGCCTGATCATTTGAGATCAACATTTCTCTTGCTACCGTGGTTTTGTACAGATGAACATCTACGGAATTATTTTCTCTCTGTCCTATTATGCAAGAAAATAAACCCAGACCTACATGTAATTATCTTATGTGTCTTCCAGGAGCTAAAAGCCATTAAACTCTTAACATTGCCGTCAGCATCAGAGTTGGAATCCAACTTTGTTTTCCTTTTCTTAGATAAAACCCCTGCTGTATTTGAAGGGGTGAATTTCAATAAAACCTTTCATTTAAAAATCACAAACTGATCACTTACTGTGGACATAGATTTAAAAAAGGAGTGTTAATTTGCAAGATGAGTTTGAATTCTGCTGTGCCTGAGCAGATGTACCTAATCTAATTCAGAGCTTTGTCTCTTGTGAAAGATACACTTTACACGAGGCTACAGTAGAATCATTGAGACCTCATGATGAGATAGTCTGTAAGGTAGTTTCAAAGATGAGTGTTATGTTCCCTTCACAGAACAAGAAACTGTTGGAAAGAGATTAATTGACTTGCTGAAAGCTGATGCAGTAAATCAGTATGCAGATGAAAGCTTCTAACATCCAGGTTACTTTTTTTTGACAGACACAATCAAGACACAGAGACTCAACAGCTAGTTTCAGTTCATCTGTTTCTATTACTTGTCTTCCTAGGTGATGATGTAACTCAGTTCTTGTGGAGCGCTGAACAGCGTAAAAAGCTTTTGGATCCTGTGCCAGAATCATTGACTGCTTCTCCAAATTTTCTTTTGGAGGCTGGTGCTCTGCCTGTCATGGAGTTTGAGAAAGACGTTGAGCTAGGTAGGTGTGCCAGACACTCTGCAGTACAGGGGATTTATTTATGTTCTAATTGGTTTGAAATATACTTCATATTCACCCTCGCTCGTTTTATGTGGTGTAGATGGGGAATAACTTGAACAGCCTTGGTACATATATTTGCTGTGACAGCTCATAAATGTAAACTTTCATAACAGGAAATGAGACTTACTCTATCAAATGGGAATACTGGACCAAGGAAGAATACAAGATGTTTTTTGCCATTCCAGCTAACTTTCCCCAGCTGGATGCAAAGGGATTTGCAATAAAGGTAACACATATGATGGTTATTATACAAGAAGCATGAAATGTTAAAATCGTCAGCCAATATAAATTAAAATGTAGTAAGTTTGGTCTTCATTTCTGAATTCTGCGCATGAAGTTTGCTACTTCAAGTTCCCTTTCTAATTGTTGATATAGATTAAAAGTTTCTGACTATGGAAAATGTCTGTCTTGGTAAAGTGAGGAAGAAAAAAAAGAGGATGAGAAGACTATGAAGATGAGCAATTTTCACTTTATTCCAAAAATAAATGTTCTTCTGTACCTTCTTGTAGGTGTATTCTCAGCCTGTGCCTTGGGATTTTTATATCACACTTCAGTTACAGGAGCGTTTGAATACTGATTTTGACCAAAGCTTCAGTGAGAACTGCAGCTGTTACTTGTATCAAGATGGCTGTGCTATTTTGCACAGGGATGTAAATCGCTTCACGCTTGGGGTCAGTACAGATAAACAAAGTACAATTGTAGAAGACATGAACTCTTGCATAGGGTACCATTAGTGAGCTTTGTTTGTCGTTATGCTCATTGCTGAAGATAGCTTCATGTGTTTAATCCCACAATCTAGATCCTCTGTTTTTTGTTTTATCTATACACAAATTAGGACTATTACAGCCTTAGTTAGAGCTGATTTCTCATTTGTAGATCATGTGCTTCTCAAAGACAAACTTGAACCAATTTTTCATATTTTCTTTATTCATGAGTGATAAACAACAAGAGCCAAGAACCACGTTATATTCCACAATGAGGTTTGCATCTAAAACTCTTGTTTATTTTAGCATCTTTCAATAAGTTCCAGTCTTCCGGTCTGCTGTAGCAAAGTCATAGCATTTAGTGTCTTGCTGAAGGATTTATGTTTGAAATAGTCTTGTAAGTGCATTTTGGATTATTGCGTATAAATAGGATACAAATTAAATAGTGATTTCAGTCTTCAGTTCAATTTCCTCCTCCTCATCTTTTGTCCACTTCTGAATAATAGTGCTTCATAAGACCTCATGATTCTTTTAATTCTGGCTGCGCTGATCATGGGCGAAATCTGATTATACTGAATTTAGGGTAGGACTGTTATCTCTGTACACGTGAGTAAGGAAAAAAGGTGAGCTATAAGTATTTCACTTAATCTAAGTTAGAATGGCATATAGATACATGTTTATTCCCTGTTTTCAGGATGTTATTCGTGGCTGTAAGTCCATCGCAGAGGAGGTTATCCTACTGGTTGTTTATAATCTTCTGGGTGTGGTAGAGAAGCTCCACAAAGCGGAGATTGTCCATGGAGACCTGAGTCCAGAGGTGTTCTTTCTGGGAGACAGGTTTGTCTCTTTTTATGAATATGGGAGGATAGAGATAATACTCAGTTTCAACTACAGCTCTTCTGCTTTTGTAATTTCTCCTCTTTAGTTGGGGTACTGGTATTGCAGTCCAGTTCTTCTTAGGCTACAGTATATTCTGAAAATAGTGAAAACACTTTGTTTAGGAATAAACCTTTCTTTTGTTTATTTCTATAGAAATACTATACAATGATGTTGTAAAACTTATACTAATCAAAATGTTTTTGCTATTGCCTGTGTTCTCAAGTTTCTACTTTACCAATGTACTGGACAGCTGACTGAATATTGGTAAATAACTTGCCTTCTGGTTTTATGTATCTGAAAAACAGGAGATTAGAAAAGACAAAGGGCAGGTGGGACCGGACTGTCCAGACACTCTCTTAAACAGATTGCTTAGCCTCCATGACAGTCCACCTTGTAACCTGATGCACAGATCTAGTCGTCATCTTTAACCTCTTTCAACCGTATTATTATTATTTCACTGTTAACAAAGTCACGTATGTCTTGGAGTGTGATCTGTGAACTAAGTGTGGGAAGATAGAAGTTTGGAATGTCTAATCATTCAGATATAATACCATTAGAAGAAATTCACTGAAGATGTTCTTAGTCTTCACTGATGTGTTAAAAATAGCTATTAACTTTAAACTTATTTTGAACCTACAGTCATCTAACATATATATACCCCCAATATTTTATTTATAAGTTATAAATAAAATAAATATAAAGCAATTATCTGATTGATTTATAAATTACAGATATGTGCTACTGAAGTTCTAATATTTTCTTCACACAGCCCAATGGATTGTGTTGCACGTCTTTTACGGTGCACACTTCTTATTTTGGAAGTCACTGATCTAACAGGGACTTGGATATCTCCTGCTGGATTTCTCTGTGGTGAATGCAAACCAAACTGCCAAAAAGTTAGGATAATGGTATTTTTTTTTTAGATAGCAAAAACTATCCTAGGACAAGTGCATAGCATAAATTACAAAAACCACTCATAGCATACAAGTATGTAAGAACAACAGTAGTGAGAAGTGTGATCTGCTTATATTGCTGTCTTGGCAGTAACTGTCATCTAGGCAGATACTTCTCACTGCCCTTTCTGTTTGTCCTCCCTACTGTGTAGACTAGGAAAGGTTTATTAAAGTATTATGAAACTTAATTCTTTCTTGTATAAAGTATTCTGAGGTCTTGAAGGAGAGGGAGAAGTGCTAAACATTAAGCTATTCTCCTGTTCCACCAACTGTGTTTCAGATAACTGACAAATATCAAACCAGCATCATCCTTAACCCTTTAGTGTTTCCCATTGCTTACTCTGGAGATACCAGTATCATCTCTAAGCCTCAGGCTGCCAGCAGGTTCCCCATCCAGGGGTAGTCCTTTCAGCAGTAGTTCTTAAGCTAACCATCAGAGGGGAGCATTGACATAGCTAAGACTCACCTTCACTATGCTGTTAAATTTCATTTAAAAAACAAAGTTTGGATTGTCTTATACTTCATTTGCTTCCTCTGCTCAGGATCTGTGATCCATTTGCTAATGATGAGATGACAAGAGCTCTGAAGATAGTGGATTTCTCTCACAGTCTAGATTTGAGATTACAGTCTCAAGTAAGTTTGCCCAACAGCTTTCCCATATCTCAGACTGCTCATGGACAACAGCTTCTGGCAAAAAGTTCTCTTCCTTATCAGGTGAGTCTGTTTAGCAGGACATCTTAGTTTCTGTGTTTCCTTTACAAAATCTCTGTGTTCTTAGGTTGTGTTTTGCAATCGCTGTGGAAAGCTCTTATCGATAAATACTGAATTAAAGAGAATTTTTCATCTGGTTAAATCTTTGGCATTAAGTGAAGGGACTAGCAGAGCTGTTGAGTTCCTGTATTTATTTACTACTGTAAATACTACTGTATTTATTTAGGAACCTACAATAAGACTGGAATTTTACTTTTTGAAGTTTTCTTGCTTAGCAGGTCTCTGGAAGATTCTGATGCAAAGACCAATTCAGACATAAATGTATAAAAGCACCACCAGCAGAAATGTAGTGGATTGCAGAAACTGGCAGAAGTTAAACTTTCTGATGTTGTGGTTGCAGGTAGACTTGGTTGGCATTGCAGATATAGTCCATTTGATGCTGTTTGGGAATCATGTCCAGGTCTATCAAGAAAATTCCATCTGGAAAATCAGCCAAAATGTATCAAAGTAAGTCCTTTTGCAGAGGAGGCTGCTGGGAAAGAACAGACTTCTAACTTCCTTCACTTTCTTTACAATGGTACCATCTTCAAAGCTTACATCACAGAACTTAGTGCTGTTGTTGCCAAAAGCATTAGCTCTGTGGGGACTTAAATTTTGAAGCTACTAGACTCGTTCATTGTATAGTAGCCTCAGTGCTGTGTAGGAGACAAAAAGCTGAATATGAGCCTAACAGTCCAGTTAAGATGATTTTGCTTTTTCTATCCTTTCAGACCTTTCTATCGTTTTCGCTTGATAAACCAAGCTTGGGGAAGTTTGTAAGTGGGTGGGTGGTCGGGGAAAAAAGAACTATGTGAGCATGTTGCTTTTGAAATGGAGATTATTTTGGTTTACTGCTGGTGGTTTGGGTTTTTGTTTTTTTGGTTTTGTGGTTTTTTTCATTCTAGGCTAGGGTTACTAAGACACTGATGCCAGGGTTCTGTCTGAAACTGTTGCAGAAACAGTATACATGTACAAGAAGGAAAATAATTTAAAATTATAATTTAAGATGCTTGTGCAAGCAGCTTCTTTTTGGAAGCTGCTGTTTGTCCTCAGGTATTAATTTCTACTGCTCTCTTAGCCACATGTCTTGGCTATAAGACTACTCTGCCTTTATCTACCCTTTGCTTTTAGACTAAACACTTGTTCATTTTGTTAGTCACATCCTGCAGAATTTTCTGCCTTAACATTTCATAAGGATTTTCCAGAACACTCTGCTCATGACAGAAATTACTTGACAGATATCTGCATTCAGGATCATGGTATATTAGCTACACTTGCTGGGTGGATATACTTCTATAACCATTGCCTTAAGAAAACCTACTACCAATCTGGGAGTTGTCCGGTTCCCTAGCAACCTGCATTACTTACATGTCCTAGTTTGTTGTAGTCAACCTTTGAAAGCTTCTTAAGCTGTGTACAGGGGAAAACCACTTTTTTCTTTACTGGGCACATACCTGTTTTTCTACTACTGATACCAGCAGTTACAAGGCTGTAGCAGGCTTCTGCTGAGTACTCCCTATGCATGCCATACTGTACCCTGTAGCTTTTGGTTTTTCTTCAGAGGATCAACTTACAGGACTAGGCTGTGAAGAACAAAATCACTAAAGGTGATTGGTCTCTGAAGACATGAATATCAATGATGTATAGGTTGGCAGTAAATATTTGTCTTATACTGCCTTTGTTTCAGAAATACTTTAAAAAAAAAAAAGCAGAAAAAAGCACAACTAAATCATTGATGGAGACTGGCTTTTGCTCTCTACTGGCAGATATTCTAACATGACATATCTTTGAGCTATGTAAACCTGACCTGCTCTGAAGAACAGGACTCCTGTATATTAACTCATATCAGAACGTGATCTGTTTTTAACAATATTCTGTTGAGATAGAGGGAAAGATTTCTGATAAGTGTTGCCTTTTTTTAGTTTAAATTTTTATTATTCATTTATTTAATAATTCTACAAGAGATTAAATTGAGCTACTGCAGATGAAGCCACACAAAGCCTGAGTTGAGAAGGTAGGAACAGGGTGTTGGGGACTTGATTGGGAGGATGGGTATGGGAAAAATAGCCATAACTGTCTGGATAACTGGAGCACGAGGAGCAGAGTAGCAAATATAGTCTGAGTTTGGAAGGACAGGGCTGGCTGTTATGGGGAGTTTGGAAGGGACGGGTCAATTGGAAAGGAATATCAGTCAAAGCTGGGGACAGTGGATTGAAAGAAGTAGGATTCTGGATAGAGGTAGAACTTGGCAGGGGATTTGGGTAGAAGGGGAGTGAGACCTGTGAAGGACTAGAGGAGACTAAGGAGGAAGAAGGTAAAGCCTGGGCATGCGTTCTGTGTAGCTGGAACCAGGCTGTGATGGCTCATCGCTCACTTGGATACATCAGCTTATAACTTTGCTTTGGAGTTGAGAGTATGAATAAGGAATTTCCATTTTCCGTCCTGCCTTCTACTTTGCTTCTGAAAGTGTGATAGACTTATTATTATTCATCTTCTATACTTATTTTTGAATATCAAGAATTCCAAGAAATGTTTGTATAGTTACATGTTATACTGAAGTCTTATATCAACAGTGTAAATGAGGCATTTCATTATGTGGGGATAAGGAATCTGCACTGAATCTTTTTTTCCATTCACACACAGATCTTTTAGTGTGTCTTGCTCTTATTATTTGATGACACTTCCTCCAGTCAATTTGAAGTTTTCACTAAATTCTGAAGTAATCTCTGACAAGCAAGTTTACTGCTGCGGGGAATCATCATCCACCAGAAGGGACTGCCCAATTAAGCACTTCCCTGTGAGAAGAATCAGCTAATGGATATTAATCTTGTGCTTTATCCTTTGCATACAGCCATGCATGGCAGTGACACTTGCAACACCCATGAAGACACAGGATTCTTTTTCCTGCTGCTTTTAGTAATTCTACTTTTCTTTTGTAAAGATCATGTTACTTCTGTCCTTTCTGCTAAAAGTTCTATAAGTGACTCGGAAAGTGTTGGGTTTTTTTTTTGTTTGTTTCTTAGAGTTGGTTTAGGTTTGTTGGGGGTTATTTTTTTGAGGATTGTATTGACACAATAACTTTCCCCAAAGAACGTTCTGAGAATTTAGGCAGTGACAAACAGAAAGAAGGCTGCTTACTAGAAGGCTGACTGGTGTTAAATGCAACAACCATGACCTCCTTCTCTTAGGAAAACTTTAAAAAAAAGGACTTCATAATTAAGTATTAAACAAATTTAAAGATAGTAGAATGACTAGTAAAGCCACTACCTTTACTACCAGTTCAACAAAATTCCAATGCAGTGGGGAATTGCAAGGCAAAGCACAAAATCATTCTAAGGCCAATGGCCTCAATAAAGCAGAACCCACTTACAAGGTGACAGAATGAATGCAAAACACTTAAACATTGTAGTAAAGACTTCTGGAAAGGTAGAATGTGAATTCTGATCAAGTTTCTTTTTTCATCTTTGAGCATTACTCTAAGGTAGACAACCTGTTTTTCAGGGGAGGGGAATTTTAGCATGTTACCATTATTAAAGAATGGATTTGGAGTTTTTTCAGTTCCAGGAGTGTGTTTAGTTTTTCTGTTTTCACTATACTATTTTAGGAAACTTCCATCTGTGCAGGCTTATGTGAGGTAGCATATAGAAGCTGTGTTTGAATTTTTAGGACTATTTTTGTCACTCTTAACTGCTTAGACATCCTTACCACATGTAACCTTCTCTGCTATGCCCCTTACTTGGCTAAGTCCGTGAAGAAAATGGCATCAAGTCTTGCGTAGTTTGGGGGTTTTTTTCTTGGTTAGGTTCTGTATGACTTCATTACTCTAGAAAATGTAAGAGTTACTAGTGTAATAGTACAGGCTGGATTCCTTCTGAGACTATAGCTGCTGCTGTTTTGTGAGTCACTTACATGAAGCAGAGACAGATAATTTGTTCAAAAGCCAATGTAACTCCTAGATTGAGGGAGAAAAGTGCTTCAGTAGTCAGAAGTGCGGCGTATGGATTTCAGTGCAAGACTGAAGAACAAAGGGTTAGCTCTGATACCGTTTTTCTGAGACTTTTTCTATTCATGTTGTGTGCGTATATCTGGGAGAGAGGGGATTTATTGCTATTAATTGTATTTGAAATGTTATCTGTATAAGAACTCTGGCAGATGGAAGGCAGAGAAAAAAGAAGGTAAAACTGGCTGTGAACCACTCTTCTTCCCCACTCCACCCTCGCAGCTTTCCTTTAATATTGACCTGTGAACTTAACTTGCAAATGGGGGAATGAGATTTACCTCTACCCCTTATTCATGAAAGGAGTCTGCCAACTTTGTTGGTTCAAAGAATGCTCTTGGTAACTTCTTTAAATTAGAAGTGCTGTGGCTCAGTGTGAATGGTGATAGTGGTCAGATACACTAGAAGAGGTAACTGGAAAAAATAGTGGTTTTGATAGACCTGTGGAACAGCCTGTCTAGTTACTATCCAGAAGCCTACTGGAGAAAGAGAAAGGGGCCCACATGTATAAACTTAACAATACATTCCTAGTTTGCCTTTGCATTTACTTATGTGAGTGAAATTATTATGTCAGACTTGGTTCTCTCAGGGTGTTTAGTGCTGAATATAAATTAAAATCTTGACAGACATGTTGTGTGTGCATACTGTTTCACTGAAAACTGCTCTATTTGTTTTAGGACTGTTGACAGTGATTTCTGGAGTAAACTTTTTGGGAGAATTCTGAATGCAGATGGTAAGTCCACAGTGCCTCTGCTGAGGGAGTTAAGAGAGGAAATATGTGACATGTTTGACAGCCGTTTCCAAGAACGTCTTTGTGAATCCTTAGCTGCACTGGGAGAAACTTTCCTCTTGGAGAACTTCCTGTGATTTCACAGAGGACAAATACAGTTTGTATTATAGAGAGGAATTTTTTGTTAACTTTTTATTTATTTTTTTTTTTCAAATGTAAGCATGAACAGTGATTGTAGCTGTTTCTGCAATTCTTCACATGAGACTTGTTAAAGAATGTTGCTATTGCATCAGTGCACAGATAACCTCCTAAGCCTGCTACATCAACTGGTCTGTGTCCGAGCAGTTTGCCAGAGAAAACTGGTTGTCATAACTGCCTCCTTTTCTTTTTGTGTAGCTCCTTAAAAATGTGTTTAATACATAGTTCACACTGCAGTCTCTGAAACAAAATGTCTTTGTCCTATGTTTAGTTGGTCTTTTAATTGGCGTTTCATCAATAAAGTTGTATTTTGATAGCAACTCTGTCATTAAACTTTACTGTCAGACGGTTTCAAAAGACTTGATTTAGTATCCATGCTGGAGTGCTTCTGCCTGACTGGGAATTATTTGTGACTGCTAGATACAAAAGCTTCTCATTTGGTGGCAGCTTTCATAACCACACAGGACTTCCTGGACACTTGAGCACAGCTTGAATGATTCTACTTGGAATGTGCTCTCATGGATGATTGTCATAAGAAAAAGTAGATGAAGTCACGAGTGAAAAAGACGCACACTTAAATTTTTGCTTCTCAATGCAAGTGCTTTATTTACTTTTGCAAGGGCTAGAGTTACTGACTGGGTTGAGCATCTTTCAGAAATCTCACTGAAGTCTAAATTTGCCATATGTGCTGAAGTGTTTGCAGGCTTTTGTGGGAGATTTTGTGGATAGATATTTGTGTTAACCTTTTATGCACTGTATTATTGAAACCAGTACAAAGGCTTCATTTTATTCAGGAGGACAGAATTTACAGGATCCAAACCCAAGATGCTACATACCTTAAGTGTAGAGGAACTCCTCAGACTCGGAAATTACTTCCTCACAGCTTCTCCCACATATGAAAGTGAGAGTAGAAGACTGCATTGCTAGTAATTTCTTCTCCCTATAAAACTAAATTGGCTTTAAGTGTGTTTTAGGTGTGTTTTTTCATTTGGTTAAATTCTCTGGCCATGGTTCTGTTTGATTCTCCCCTGTTTGTCAGTGTTCTCTCTCCAAATTCTGTTCCGGAACTTAATTCCGTATTTTCTAAGTTGCTACAAGCACCTTTTTCTTTCCTGTTCTTTCTGCATATGTCCATCGCTACTCCTCTTGCTTTGACCGGTGCTCTTTTTGCTCTTCCAGAGACTCAATGCCTTCTTTTTAAGTCCTTTCATGAAGGTCATATACTCTTGTAATTCATGAGCTGATAGACAAGCTTTAATATCTAATGTAAAGTGCTGCTGAAGAATTTTTTTTTGGCCCGTTAATGCCTCAAATAATGCTTCCTGTAATACAAGTCATTAGTTAGTCATCTATTGAGCAAGCAGATGAAATAATGCTCTATCTCTAGCCAGAGTTTAGAGCAAAGATGACTGGTAAAGCAACTAGGAGCTATGCATTGGACTAACTTCTGTTCGCTCTAAAAGGACTTGCATGTTTGATAGTGCCTTCCTTTAGTTGAAACTTGTTTTCTTTTGCAGATCTTCTAGCTTCCTTTTAGACAAAGTCTGGGGGTTCTCACTAGCTGTGCTCTCACTTTCAGCCTTTTCAGTTTGTATCCTGCAACACTGATGGGAAAACCAGGTAGCTTAGGAAGAGAATGCTCATAACAAAAATATTGGTCATCCCAAGGACTTCTCAGGCAAGACGTGTTTCCAGCCAACACAGAACTTCACTATCGCTTCACCTATTTCATAAACCTTATTCAGTCAGTCTGAACACACAGATGAGAGCTCTCAGCAGAAGTTCAGTAAAGGAGATTTGTTCATCAGGTATTTAAAATCTGTAAGTGAATATTTTGTCTGTAGTGAAATCTACTTCAAAGCTGAAACACTCTGTTATTACTCTTATGTTGACTTGGCCTGTTTTCTTTCTGAGCAAAAAATGTGCTAATCCTTCTCCATCTAATACGACTACACTCCATGGGTTGCACAAGAGCATGTCATCTTCCTCCTCATGTATATCTTGGACAACACAAGCACCTCAGTTTATCATAACTAAAAAACTATTGAAACTGCTCTCCAATACTGTAAAATAAGAAACACTTAGCAATGGCATTACAAACTTCTCCATAAGAGACAAACACACAAATAATGAAGGGGAACTAGCAGCTATAAAAAGAAAGTGCAGACATCTGCTGCTTGTTCCCAGTTCTACATCTATTCTACTTGTCTTTGGTTCCTCTGTATCTGATGTGAAAATATGAAACTCTTATTAAGATAAAATGAAGGTTACCTTGCCTAAGTAAACTGTTCTAAAAGTTTTCAGCAGAATGACATATCTTTAATTGTATATTTGGTGGCTATAACACAAGTTGTGTGATGTTTGTTAATAAGAATGTTAGTCAAACGAAGTGCCTACTGAATTTGGCAAATCTGTGGTTAAATTTCAGAGTTGGAAAAGCTCCGTTGTAAATGGTAGAAGATGACAGACAGAATTGTAGAAGAAGATATACTATTTCAATGTCCTAGAAAATCAATTATTATTCTTAAAAAAAAAAAACAAACAAAGGGAGGGGGAAGCTTCTAATTTTTTTTTTTTTAAACTGGAAAATGGAATAAGTTTCCTGTAGCTGAACGAAGAAAAAAAACTATACGATGTCGCTGTTCTTCCTTAGCCTGCTTTCCATTTGAACACAAAGTTGGTTTTGCGTGTATATTAACTGGAGATACAGTAACAATATCCTGCTCTTTGGCTACTGTGTTAGCAGTAAATCTTCTTCACTGAAATTGCTAATTAGATGCAATTCAAATACAGTCTAAATACTATGCATGATACTACACTTGGAATAATATTATTGTCCAGACGATGCTTTTTCTCCTACCTGGGTAACCTGCAGTAGGAAAGTTGAGTGTTTTTATGCACAGCTTATTTCCTTGCTTCTAAAATGTTTCAGTAATATCCCAGGTGTTTGACAAGAAAGGTCAGAAGAATGGAAGTGATTTGTAATGTTGGACGCTGCTGGAAAGCACATATGGATCCTGCTTCTAAAGCCTGAGAATCTTGGTTTTCGCTATTTTTCTTACGATCTATGTGCCAGCACCAGCACTCTAAGCTTTGGATCTGTCCCTAGCCTTCTGACTGGCCAGAGAGTTGGAAGAGAGCAGGAGACAAAGCCTGCCCCTAGTTCTTTCTTATTCCTTGCTAGGATAGTGCTATAGTGAGAGGTTCTTCAAAGGGTAAGGGTACAGAAGACCTGGGCTTTTAACTGTTTCAGAAATTAAGAGCAACTTGACTGATGCCCTGGATGCCTTGAACGTGCACTTCACAGAATAGCCCTGCATGCAGGAACGCACCCAAACCCCAGGTACTTTCACCCAAGACTATGGAATACTTGGTCTGCTGATGAGGCTCTGGAATATTTGAAACTATTTGTTGGTATTCATAGGGACCCCCTTTCCTCTGCGTTCGTATAAACTGCTTTGATTCAGAAACAGTAAAATAGTTAAGTCAATAATGTTGTCCACTCTGTCGTATTAAGTGGAAGGGGGTCTAGAAATAATGGCAGAAAGTCACTGAGCCCCAACAAATGCTACAGATAAAAAAAAAATCTAGACTGATCAAACGTGCGTGAGATGTACATATACTGTGAGTGGGGCAAAACCCCCAGGTCTGAGCTGCTTTCTGCTCATTAAGCTCTAGTAGCTGCATCTGGGTTGGAAGGAGTTGCTTCCAGTGTTGCTAGGGCTCATCAGGATCACTGACTACACCTGTAAATACTGCTGATGCAGGTTACCTCCTTAGTATTTATGTATTGCAATAACCGAAAACCTCACACAACCTCATTACCTCTACTTGACTATGTCAGTGCAAACAATAAGAAAAAGCAGATCTTGATAGTGAAGAGCAGAAAAGTGATTAAAAGAAGCTGCAGAAACCAACAATAAGAGTCGGAGTTCTAAAACAGTAATACTAAAACAGATCTTACTTTTTTAAAGGATATCTATAAGTATCTACAAAAAGTCTGTTGCAAACTCTGAAACTAACTTGCTAATACTTTACATCTTGAGAGATTATTTTAAGGAAATGTATCAGCTAGTAGTACTGATCACCTGCTGTCCTAAAAAGGTATTTAATTTGTAGGAGATTCAAAATCCTAAAACTGAGATAATTGGTAAAAGTATTTATCAGCTCAGATAGATATATTCCAAATGCATTCATATCTGAGAATTCTCCTAGCCTGCGGTCTGTGTTAAATAGAAAGATTATGAAAACCATAGAATAGAAGTATGTACCTGTTGACTAATACCTTATCAGAGGTGTAAGCTTGTACTTGTGCTAGCAGGTGAGATTACTTAACAGAAGATTTCCAGAAAGAACTACAAACAGTAGCTTGCACTCTACCTTAATGTGTTTCCCCTGTAATACTTAAATCGTGTTTCTGTAAAAATTCAACTGTTGAATAAGGAGAATGCATTTCATGTGGCTGGTGCATGAAATCCCACACTTGTATTTACAGCTTTTGATATGAAATCACACAATTATATAAAGTTTTTAGTATAGTCTGTTATAGATTCATATAAATTCAGGAATTCTTAAAATAACAAAAATTTGGCAACACATAAAGGTAATTATATTGGATTACATGAGTAGCCTTAAATTTATGTGGGACAATAGTTAGATAATTTCAAGACTAAGCAAAACTGTCATGTTTATGACTCTTGTCAGGCTTTCATTCTGCAAAATACTAAGAACTTGCCAAGTTTTAGACACATACAGAACCTGAACCTGGAGGGCTACATCTTGTCTGTAAAGCAGTATTTGTCCCCTGGTCTTCCAGACTAGCAAATCTCAGCACTCTTCTTTCATCTGAGAGGGAACAAGGCATAAAGAGTAGGCACAAAGGTCTTATCCCTACAGTCAGGCCATGGACAGAGTGTGCTCCCCGTAAGTGGGAATGCTCCCTAGTCCCACAGCCAAGAACTTCTGGTTTTATGGCTCTCTGAAGCATAGGTTTATTCTTGTTCTCAGAAAATTGCATTCTGCATACTGTGAACAGTTGATGTGATTTGAATCTGAATGTTT